AGGAATTGACCAAAATTTTATCTCATTTTACTTAATTTAAATCTAAATTTCAAACCTGAAGCAATGTAAAATATTTTTCCATTACAGGCAACTTTATTGTTTTGGCAGGACAACATTTCACTTTAACCATTTCATTGCATAAATATTATCTTTGTATTATATAATGTGTGTGTTGGGTACATATATTTTCTAGTATTACATATAAATACATCATTGATTTAGTTAGTGTCAAGAAATAGATGTGTTTATTTGAATATTTTCTGAAGACATGAGGAGTTACAGTGATACTAAAGAAATAATTGGTATCAAATCAAAATATTTAGGCTTTAATTATAATTAAATTATAATATTCTATTATTCTAGGTTAAAAATAAGTATGGACACAGTTTTACTTTATTTCAATTTATTATCATTTTTTTGAATTGGAATGTCACTCTGTTGCCCAGGCTGGAATGCAGTGGCATGATCATGGCTCACTGAAGCCTCCACATCCTGGGCTCACATAATCCTTCTGCTTCAGCCTTCCAAGTAGCTGGGATTAAAGGCAAGCACCATACCTGGTTAATTTTTTATAGAGACAAGGTCTCATTATGTTACCCAGTCTGGTCTTGAACTCCTAGGCTCAAGTGATTCTCTCACCTTGGCCTCCCAAAGTGTTGGGATTATAGGTGTGAGCTACTGTGCCCAGTCTGGACATATTTTTATTTATTATTTTTTGAGTCAGGGTCTCACTCTGTCACTTAGGCTGGAGTGCAATGGCACGATCATGGCTCCCTGCAGCCTTGACTTCCTGGATTCAGGCAATCCTTCTGCCTCAGCCTCCTGAGAAGGTGGGACTATAGATATACACTAACATGTGCAACTAATATTTTGATATTTTGTAAAGACAAGGTCCTGTTGTGTTGCCCAGGCTTGTCTCAAACTCCTGAGCTTAAGCTTCCCAAAGCTTTGGGATTACAGGTGTAAGTTACCAACCTGGAGAGGACAGACATTTTTAATGTTATTTATTTATTTTTGAGTCTCACTCTTGCACAGGCTGGAGTGCAGTTGCATGGTCATGGTCACCACAGCCTCGACCTGCTTGGCTCAGGCCATCCTTCTGCCTCAGCCTTACAAGTAGCTGGAACTATAGGTGCACACCACCATGCCCGGCTAATTTTTTGATTTATTGTAGAGATGACATCTTGCCAAGTTGCCTAGGTTGCTCTTGAAACCTTGGGCTCAGGCAATCCTCTCACCTCAGCCTACCAAAGTGTTGGGATTATAGGCGTGAGCAAGCACACCCAGCTGTCATTTTTAAATTTAAAGTGAAGGCTTATTACTGACAGAATTGAGTGGAGATCCATAATATGGCCAGGATTATAAAAAAAAAAAAAACAAAACCCGGAAGATGATTTACTTCATTTCAATTTCATGATGAATGACAGTTGCAATATATTGTGACAAAACAAAAAAACCCTGATTTGTCATACTAAAAACTAAGTTAATGAAGAGAAAAATATTGAGTCAAATATAAGTAAACTGATGAAATAATTCCTATTGCTAAGTAAAATGGAATAGACAAAGTTTGTTACTTGAAATCAGCATTAAACATGCAACCAAAACATTTAAACAATTTAAAAACAGAATCTGAGCTTATAACTTGGTCCAGCTATAAAATGGCTTTGATTCTGGCACAAAACAGAAAACATATTTTAGACAGAGTTGTAAGACAGATTATTAGTTTAGTCATGGAAATGTTGTCAGAGTATTATAAGAAAGACCAAAGATAATCTCATAAAAAATAAAAAAATCTTCAATTAAGCTACCAAAAAATTGTCTGTAAAATACAAGATCTTTCTAACAATATCAAGGATCAACTAATTCAAAAGTAGAAAAGACTCAAGTAATCTTCTTTAACTTTAGATGAGTTGTACAATATAAGATACTGCCCAATTGATACTCTGGATACATTTTGTCTTAAAAGACTTATAAATTTTAAGAAATGTCAATGTACAGCCTACAAAACCAAAGTCATGGCATAGACAGTTTTGTGTCTTTTATATCAGTCATAGGATTCTGCTAGATACCAAAAAAAAAAAAAAAATTAGTGTCTATCACAATGGATGGTATTCCAGTTAGGTCAAAAATCTAAATCTCTAAAATTTTAAGGCAACAGACTAATGACTCTCTAATTGCTTTGCTCCATTCTCTATAAAGATTACTATGGTTTAGCATATATATATAAATATTATGATTTATTGTCACTTTTATGGACCTGTTAAAAGATTAGAGAACAATTTATTTATCTTATATTCTTTGTCAATGCTCACTGGTTGAATGGTGGAAGAATTCTTACAAATATTTCCTGTACTATGAACTCCAATTTATGATTTTCTTTCAAAATTCTTTCCAAGTATTTAATAATCAAAGACACAAAAAAGAGATGACACCGCATATGAACAAGTGGAATCTGAAATTCCAAGGAAAGCAAAGTTTTTTTGGGACCTAACCAAAAGGGTAGGAACATTTGTTGAAATGGAAACTTTTCAAAGTACAAGTTAATAATACTGTTTTTACATACTTTTCTACATAAATAAACAGAAGATTTAACAGGAATCAAAAGCACTGTGAAAATATGCACACAATGAAGAAATAGGTTAGGTAATCTTGTCAAATAAATAGAAACTATACAAAAATGGAAGGAAAATCCCAGAACATAAAAATGCAGTATTTGGTAGATAAGCTTAACAGCAGAACTGAGAAAACAGAAAAAAGAAATCAGTGAGCTTGAAAACTGAGCAATAGAAGTTATCCAATCTGAAGAACAGAAAAAAAATACTGAGGATAAATAACAAAGCCAGTGGCCTATTGAACAGTATCTCAAGATTTAACATATGAGTACTTGGAATCCCAGAAGAAGAGGTAAGGGAAGAAAAAAATATATGAAGATATAATAGCCAAGAATTCCTGAAATTTGGTTAACGTGTAGAGATTTCAGTGGCCCAGAGAATCCCTAAAAGGATTAAGACAAAGAAAACTATATCATACTCAAGTAGTTGAAAGCCAAAGGTAAAGAGAAGATCTTCAAAGCACACAAAGAAAAATGACCCATTATATGCAGAAGGAAAATAATTTAAATGACATCTTATCATAAACTATGAAGTCAGTGATACAACACATACCCATACACACTCCCCCAAAACTGCCAAACCAGAATTCTAGAGCCAGAAAAATATTCTTCAAGAATGAAGACATTTTTAGTTTAAAAAAAAAAAAATATGAAAATTCATCACCAGTACAGACACACTCCAATAAATGCTAAGTTAAGTTCTTCAAACTATAGAGAAATCATTCCAGAGAAAAACTTAGATTGTTGGGAAAACAAAGAGCATGGAAATAATAAATATAGGGGTAAATATAAAAAAATGAAGCTGGGTGTGGTGGCATGTTCCTGTAGTCCCAGTTACTTGGGAGGCTGAGATGAGAGATTTGCTTGAGCCTGTAAGTTCAAGATCAACCTGGGTAACACAGCAAAACTCCATCTCAAATAAATAAATAACCCCAAATACTAAAGAATATGTTTTTCATCTTAATTTCTTTAAAATATATAAGACTCCATAAATTTCTAAAAGGAGTGTCAATGTGACTCTCCATGGATTACTTACTTACTAATTGCAAAAAAGAAAGTATGAATACGATGGAGACTGCTGGTGGTCAATAAATGAATCAAGAGCTCAAACTCAGCTTTCTTGTATGCCCACTAATATTTTAAAATATAAATTCTGTCATACCTTGGAGTAAGCAGTCTTGTCAAAAATGTTTAGTCTGAAGTCTAACCAACCCTCTAGATATAACTTCAAGTCCACAGTAAATATAGAGGACAAACAAGATAAGCACACCTTGAGAAACAATAGGACACACACAGGATGTGCAACATTGTATAGGTCAATTCTCTTCAAAAAGTCTACATCACAAAAATGGCAGACAGTAGGTTCTTGACCAAAGAGACTTAAGCCATAATCATATAAAATACGTGAGCTTAGTTTGATTCTTGCCTTTTTAAGAAAGACACTGTTTAAACGATTGGAGAAATTTACAAACAGATTGAGTGTTATAAGACATTATGGGGTTACTGTTGACTTTTTTGGGTGACAACAGTTTAGTAGTCATGGACAACATGTTGATTAAGTATTTTTAATTCTGGTATCTGCATGTTGATTTTTTTAGACATGAAGTGATACTTAAAACATTCACTCAAAAAACACTAAAAACAATATATGTAATATATAAATACTTATGTATAATATGTTTCTGTATATCTATATGTAAGGGACATACCTGTGTATAAGTTATTTCTGTGTATTTTTATGTGTGTATATACATATATAAACACATGTGAAAAAGATAAACTATGTGGATAAGGCTTCACTGTACCACTGAAAACAGTTATCTTTTCTGTAATTACATAAACATGAATATTTTCATAAACTTGGAGAAAACCTTACCAAGTCAACATTTGTCTTTTGACTAACCAATTGTTAATTTCTAATTTCTCTGAATTGTAGGAAATGTGGATTTCCTGTGTTATAAAATGTATTATAAGAAAATTTCTTCAAACCACTTAATTTTTCAACATCTATACTCTCAATATGCAATAAATACACTGTATTTCTTTCCAGCATTAATTAATCTTCAGGGGTATAAATTGTGGATTTAAGAATTTCTCATTTAATATTTCATATATTCTACAGAATTTGTCCAAAATGAATGATATAAAGTAATGACAGAAAGTTTTTTAAAATGTCATACTCATAGGGTCTTTCTTCCATATAAATTTTATTTTTTACCAAATGATTATCATAAAAATAATATACTTAATAAACAAATACTTTGTGCCAGTTGCCTTTCCAAGGGTTTATATTTTATGTTAACTACTTTAATCTTCATCATAGTGTAGTTACATGATGGAATAATTATAATAGTAAAAGATGTGCCACAGCTAAAGGCTCTCTCACTCATTACATTAAGAATTTCTCACCAATGTGAAATCTTTGATGTTGAGTAAGTTGATACCAATGACTAAAGGCCTTCCCACATTCCTTGCATTTGTGTGGTCTCACACCAGCATGAGTTCTCAGACGTTGAGTAAGTCAATCACTACCATTAACGGCTTTCCCACATTCTTTACGTTCATAGGGTTTTTTCACCAGTATGAATTCTCTTATGCTGAGAAAAACCTGAGATAGAATGGAAGGCCTTCTTACATTCTTTACATATATAGGGTTTCAAGCCAGTATGAATTTTCTGATGATAAATTAGTTGATAAATTAGTTAAATAAGACTAAAGGTTTTTCCACATTCTTTACATTCATAGGGTTTCTCTCCAGCATGAATCGATGGATGTGCTTTAAGGTCTCCAACATGACTCAAGGCTTTCCCACACTGCTTACAGTCATATGGTTTCAAATCAGTATGGATTATCTGATATTGAATAAGGTATGAATGAAGCTTAAAAGTCTTCCCACATTTTTGACATTCATGTGGCTTCTGACATGAACGAATCCTCTAATGTTGTATAAGTTGAGAACTTCTACAAAAGGCCTTTCCATAATCCTTACAATCATAGAGTTTCTCACAGCCATGAATTCTTTTATGTTTAAGAAGGCCTGAGCCCCTACTAAAAGACTTACTACATTCTGTACATTCGTGAGGTTTCTCATCAGTTCTTTGACATTCAATAAGTAGATAGTTCAATAAGTAGTAGAAATGTCTTTCCACACTGTTTACATTTATATGGTTTCTCACCAGAATGTATTTTCTTATGTTACTAAAGACTTGAACGATGACAAAAGGCCCTCCCACATTCCTTACATTTATAGGGTTTCAGGCCATGATGAGTTTTCTGATGTAGACACACATGTTGGTATAACCTAAACATTTACCAACATTCTTTACATTCATAGGGTTTCACAATTATATGAATTTTCTGATGTTCAGTTAGGTGAGAATGACGTCTAAAAGACTTCCCACACTGTTTACATTCATAGGGTTTCACACCAGAATGAATTATCTGATGCTGAATAAGCTGTGAATAAAACCTAAAAGCCTTCTTACATCCATTACATTCATAGGATCTCACACTAGTATAGTCTCTCAGATGTTCGTAAGATGTGAATACTTTCTAAAGTCCTTTCTATATTCATTACATTCATATGATTTCTGTCTGGTATGAATTCTCTGAGGTAGAGAAAGGCATATATATTTTCTGAATATCATTTGACTAAAACATTTCTCTCTAGGTTACTGTTGTTTCTTAAATTGTATTCTGTACTGTGGATCACTCCTGAAAATAAACCCTATAAGGCTGAAGGTTTTACTTCTTTTCAGTGTCTCCTGTTGGTGTAAATTTACTTCATAACTGCTTTTTTCTCAAGATAACTTGTTGTTTTCAACTGTGAAATCAAAGTCTGAAAGAAAATGAAGAAACAAATGCTATTTTTCTATACTAAAGGTAGAAAAGGGACTGTTATATCAAAAATAGCAGTAAACTAAAAAGTAAACACATTAGAAATAAAAAAGGAGATACTGCCATGCAATTTTTAATTTAAATTGCAAAAAGGGTTTAGAAAAGTATAAAAATTCACATGAGGATGTATGGTTTACATGTAGACAGAGAAAAAGTCAGTAGTTTTCATAATCGGTCATGAATCTGAATTACAAAGGCCACGTCTTACATATCTTACATATCTTTAGATAGCCACAAAGATCAAGTGAACCAGAATATACAGGAATAGTCATCTGAATTCCCACCATTATCTACCAGATAACTCTCCATATAATTTTTTCAACGGTTTGTCTTTATCTTAAAATGATACCCAAACACATAACCATGAATAAAAGGCTCTCTGTCTTATCTATATAAATTCATTTCAAGCCCTTTATCTCTTTGTTCCCTATATCCTACCACAGTGCATCTTTTCAGATACTAGAACATATTAGAACATCTCCCATCTCCTGGAGCTTCACATAGATGCTCCACCTTTCAGAAATCCTCTGAGATAGCTTCTTTAAATTATCATCTTCAGATAATACAGGTTAGAAATCACTTCCTCAGAAAGGCTGTCCCTGCTAGCTCTAAGGAAATTCATGTCTTTTATTCTATATTCCAGTACCCAATTATTTGCCTTCATAATGCTTTTCCCAATTATATTTTTACTAAATCTTTTTTGGTTTGCTACTTATTTTATTACTCTGAAATATAAGTATATAGATGCAAACCTTCTTTCAACTACCACTGAAAAACAAGTCCCTACCCTATGGTATTAAATAATTAATTTCAGAATAAAGTATTGAGTTAAGAATGTAAATTTGATGAAAATACAGGTCATTGGAAAAGAGAGCTAAGTAAAATAGCGATTTCTGAAACTTATGCAACAGTTATCATCTATCTCTCCCTGACTCCAATCTTTCACACTTTATTACAATAATAGTATACCTCTCACTTACATTACCAATGAGAAAAATGTACTTGCAAACTAGCTTAGTGAAGAATATAAGTGGAAAAGGGCGATATCTGATCATTCTCCAAATACCTGTCCTCTTAAAAATATACATGCCTCCACCACTATTGTTGAATCCTTCCTTTGCATAACCATGGTTGCTTTACTGTTTCCATCTCAGTCAAGGTAATCAGATATTGTATTACCTTCTTTGGTAACATTTTAAATAACGTGTTTATCTGAAAATAAAGCCCATGAGGTTGAAGGTTTTCATTCTTTTCATCTATCCTATAGACAATCTGTTTTGGTTCTTAAATGCTTTTCTCAAATTCTTCCTTCTATTGCATTACAGCCAAGGTCAATCATCCTTGAATTTCACAAAAATACATGGTGGCAAATTTTCAGGAATCGTATTAGTTAATATAATATTGAAAGGTTTAGGAAAGTCCAAGCAAATAAAGGCTTAGCAAAGTCTAAGCAAATAAACTTGAGGATGCTGGGAAAAATAAAGTAACTAAGTAATATGGAGGAAAAGCCTAAGAAACTGAGTGCTTAAGACTCTGCAACAAAGAATATGTAGGATGCAGGCTGAAGATTGGCAATCTGGACAGGCAGACAGCCTGAAGAAATCTAAGGTGCTAAAAAGTCAAATTTGAGTTTAAAACAAGTGGAATTCTTTTCTTCTTTTTTTAAGATTTACCCTTCTGCTGGGCAGGGTGGCTGATGCCTGTAATCCCAGCAGTTAGGAGGCAGAGGCAAGAGGATTGCCTGAAGTCAAAGGTTTGAAACCAGCCTGGGCAATTTGGTGAGACATCGTCTCTATAATAAATCAAAAACTTAGCTAGGCATGGTGGCACGTGCTTGTGGTTCCAGCTACTTGGAAGGCTGAGGCAGAAGGATTGCCTGAGCCCAGCAGGTCAAGGCTGTGGTGCCCATGACCCTGCCACTGCACTCCAGCCTGGGTGGCAGAGTGGAACTCTGACTGAAAAAAAAAAAAAAAAATTACCATTCCTTAGACACAAAAGTTGGAATTCTTCTATGAACAAAGAATATTTTTTAAAAAGCCAAAATAACACAATTATTTTCTGAACTAATGCAATAAATGAGAAGTAATAATTTCAAAAAGTCAAAATACTTCCTATTTATAAATAAAAAGAAATCAACAACTACTCTTAGGTCAATGAAAAAATACAAACTGAAGCTGCAGAATTTCTTGAAAACCGTGATAATGAAGATCCTATATATCAGAATCTAAGGTCATCAACTATAGTGTACAGAGGTAAACTCAAATTTTACCTCTAATTAAAAATAAAAGAATAAAAATGAATGAATTAAGCATTCCATTTAAAACCAGCACTTTGGGAGGTGGAGCCGAGAGGATTGTCTGAGCCCAGGGGTTCGAGACCAGTCTGGGCAACTTGACGAGACCTCGTCTCTACAATAAATCAAAAAATTAGCCAGGCATGGTAGCACATACCTGTAGTTCCAGCTACTCAGAAGGCTGAGGCAGAAACATCGCGTAAGTTCAGCAGGTCAAGGCTGAGGTGGCCAGAAGCATGCCACTGCACTCCAGTCTGGGCAACAGAGTGAGACTCTGACTCAAAAAAAAAAAAAAGAATTAGAGGACAAATTAGGAAAAGAATGATAAAGTAAACTGATAGACTGTAGAAAAGAAAATTTAATACAATAAAAGAAAATTTAAATAAAACAGAATTAACAAATATAAACTATTAGCCTACCTATGCAAAGAATAAAAGATAGGGGGGGAAATCCAAACATAAAGGGAAGGGGGAAATAGTCATCAATAAAGAAACAAATAAAATATATAATTTTTCAAAACTGACACCAGCTAGATGCTTGCCACTTGCTTTTTGCAAAAAGAATATGGAAAGGGAAAAACAATACTTTGCAACGGAGAAAACAGACAGACATCCCCTTAAACAAGCCTACAGGGTTAACACCCCAGTGATAAATCATGTTGATATCATGTTCCTCTGATATGATATGAGGAGAAAGATACTTTTCTGATATTCTTTCCTGAAGCCCATAATCTGAGTTTAATCATAAAAAAACTCAACCAACCCAAATTGTGGATACTCTACCAAAGTAGCAGTCCATGAAGAACAAGGAAACACTAAGAAACTATCACAGATTGAAAGAAACTAAGGACACATGATGGTTAAATGCCATGTGATATCTTGGACTGGACTGTGGACCAGAAAAAAAGATATCAGTGGAAAAACTAGTAAAACTAATCTATAGATTGAATAAAAAACTAATCTATAGATTTGAATAAGACCTACACATTAATTAATACATTAATGTTAATTTGCTAGTTTTCATAAATATACCATGTTTATGTAAGATGTTATCATTATAGGAAACCTTTGTAACACTTTTGTAACACTTCTGTAACTCTAAAATTGTTTCTAAATAAAAAGAAAAACAGTAACAACAGACTCCAGAAGAGATGGAAAATCTGAGCAGACCAATTTCCACAGATGAAATAGAAAACATTTAAAAATGTTTTTCTCCACAAAAAGCCAGTCACAATTAGCTCTCTATTGGCCAAGACTCTGGTCTTCATACACTATGTCCCACAAATGTGAACTAGGGTGCTTGGAGAAGCAGCTAATTCCTAGTCCAGGAAGGGACCATACAAGGTAAGTCTGGGGCCTCTTAAATTTGCCCTTAAACGCAAAGAAGTTTTCAAAGATGTAAGAGTCAACAACTTGTGCTTCTAGTTAAGAAGATTAAGAGGAATCAGACTTACCCTTCTACTTTAAATAACTAGACACAAAGAAAATATAAAAAACAACAACTTTCAGATACTGTGCAGCAGGAGGTACAGGATAGGAAAACAAATGAGGTGAGCCTGAAAAGTGCTACAGCTCACTTCCTGGAGAATTTCTAAAACAAAGCACAGCGAAGGGAAAGCAAAGTAGTGCCCAGCAGTATCACAAGCAGAGGGACAAAATACACAGTTCTGGGACAGCAGGGAGCACAGAATTTGCAAGGCATAGTTCCAGAGAGCAGTAAGGTGCACAGAGAATGCTCTAGAGACCTGTAAAGGAATCCCCTTGACCAAGTCCTTATCTGTATATGCATGTGAGAAAACCAATGAGGCCAAGAAAAGCATCAATAGATAGGAAGAGGCAGAAAAATACCTGCAGGTCACTAAGGACAGGGAATAGTTCCTGTTTCCAACAGCCAAAGTAAAAAGACTTTGCAATACATGAGGTACCAAACAGAGCCCAGAAGGGTATTGCCAAAGTAGTGAATCCAAATTAATTCTAGACTAAAAGCTATTCTGGATTTATGCTAACAAAGCTTAAAAGCAAACCATGAAAGGATCAGATAGGTTTAAAGTTACATAACTGTATCCTAGAGCACAGCCCCAAAATATGCAATAGTAATAACAATCTAGCATCCTAACAAGGCAAACTTCACAATATTTGGTGTCTAATAAAAAAATTAGCAGGTATGCATACAAGGAGGAAAATAGGGCTTGTTACTAGTAGAAATATCAATGGAAAGAAAGAGACCAAGAAATAATACAGGTAACAAACAAACGCGTAGTAGACAAGGATATGAAATGAGCTATTACAGATATTCTCCATATGTTCAAGAACATGGCTTTTTTACTTATCTCTTCCTTTTATGTAGTTTATTTTTTGTTAGACTCAACATGCAAAAGAGCTCAAAGAGTAAATATTCTCAAAGTACTTCCATGAGCCAGGCTCAGTGGCTCAGCCTGTAATCCCGTGCCTTTGGGAGGCTGAGGTGAGTGGATTGACTGAGTCCGCGGGTTGGAGACCCGCCTGGGCAGCGAGACCTCATCTCTACAATAAATCACAAAATCAGCCGGGCA